TGAAAAAACAAACTGCCAAGAGTAACAGAACCTATTAATACTTTATGAAAAACTCAGTACTGTGCGGATAAATAGTTCTCAATGAGGAAAATTTGACTAGTGTGCTTACTTCAGCATCTTCAGATGACAGGTACGGCGACACATATGAGGATACTGGCGTTATGATGATTTCTTTGCCAAGATAATCTACTTTTTCCAGTTCATTCCTGTAAACCAGTAAACTGATTCACACCACAGAGAAGAAACTGTTTCTGCAGATTTTCAGCTTCATTCAAAAAAGTCTGCAAGAAATCACGAACCACGTGATATGATGGATCATTCGGCTCACATGATAAACGTAGATTCCACGGTGCGTCACCCCAATATACATCGTTTGTTTGTGCTTATCCTGAATAAATTTCATTCAGCACCGTTCGCGAGGATTAGCACGCCAGAAGTACACCTACTGGATTTAGTAAAATTTACCAAAACAGTGTATGGATCAAATCCGTAGGTTTCCAGCTTCGATGCTCTTTTCAGAAATTCCATTTCTGCTTCTGCTGGAGTAAGCCCTCTGAAAATTGCGTTGTACAGTTGTAACATCAAAAAAAAGTAGCTCAGGATAAGCCTTTAAACAACTTCAATGAAAAAAATTCGAAAGTCCTTTCTTAGCAAATAAAGGAAGATCAAAAATTTTAGTTCTGTGCTTGCTAATGTTGCTTAATAAAGAACTTGTGCCTTTACATCAATAAATATTATTTAAGTTTTCGGTAAAAAGAAAAAGACTGGAAACAATATTTACGAAGATTCTACTAAGAAATCACTGAATATGATCACTACTGAAACATCACACAAAGAAATCTTGTACTACCTTCGAGCAATTTAAATATTTAAACGATGAAAAATAAAAATAAGTTTATTCGCTATATAGCAGGTGGGAGGCTGTCAAGATGATTCACACTTCTATCAGCGGCCAACGCTCTGTCTGTGTTTACAGCTAAGGGATGAAACATAGAATGCAATGCTGACGTGTTCCTTCAGTAAATGTTGCAATTTCGTCCTTGCTGTCCTTCTATTACATTACATATTTAAACGAGATGTGGGACAAATTAGAAGTATTAAGTGCAACTCAGGATCCATAGGCTTGGTATAGTTGAGCATGACATGTGGGCACATCCCAGTAACAAAATATTTGAAATCCTCACAACGACTGCATGGGTCGTCCAGACATTTGCTTCGTCTATACTTAAGTTGCAGCAACGTAAGTATATTACATACATACATACATACATACATACATACATACATACATACATACATACATACATACA